TTGTTTTCATCTGGGACTATCAATAAGCAAGTGCTGACAATTCTTTCACTTTTTATTAACTTGCTATTAGTGGCCTAGACAAAGAACTTTGATTTTGTACAGAGCTGCAGAGTCTAATCTAATCCAGTCTATCTATCTGATACACTTGCCTGGGCAATCAGCCACAGCCTGAGAGCTGGGAGGGGATAAAGTTCATCTGCCAAACAGCTGAAATGACAAAAAGGACAGAAGCTACAAAGCAATTATTAACTGATGTGGTTTTGACTGAAGTTCAGTTCTGCTGATCATCTGCTCCAGTGAATGAGGCTCATAATGCCAACGTTGTGCTGGGCATCGATACACCGTCCTCATCGATCTGATGGACACAGGCAAAGTTATTGAGCATCCCATTACATGGAAATCGATAATGAGGTCATATCACACAATCTGAGGTCCAGCTATGGCACTTTTATTAAGACATGCAGCACAGTGCCACCACAACAGAGGAACTCAGCCCAGGGACTCTCAGAGACATCAATCTGTGGGATGCACATGCATATGTGTGTGTATAAAATTAAAAGAAGTAACTGCCACTTTGAAATCCTGCTGTACCCACCAATAAGGGGCTTGACAAAGATATTTTATATTAAAATCTGCTGAAATGTTTTTCTAAAATCTTCTACATCTTCTGTGTGAAGTTGCTGTAATTCATTCTACAGAGATTTTTATACTGCACCATATGCTTTCCAACCAGAGCTGTTTTACATAGTTGGCATAACCATGGGATAAAATTAGAGCAAGGTCTTGATGCGCTGTCCTGTCGTGGTACTTTGCCAGCTCACATCCAAGCTTGGAATGAGCTGTGGGCGGGCTGGTGCACGCACCACCCAATTTCAGAGCAGGGCCTTTGAGGAGCAGCTCTGTGTGAGCACCTCAGGGTGGCACCACCCAGGAGCTGTGGGCACTGAGTCAGACCAGCAACAATGGGGACAAAACATCTGCCTCAAGATGAGGACAGTGATGAAGATTTACTGTCAGGTTGGGGAGGCCCTGGCACAGGTTGCCCAGAGAAGCTGTGGCTGCCCCTGGATTCCCAGAAGCGTCCCCATCCCAGGCCAGGTTGGATGGGGCTTGGAGCAACCTGGGCTAGTGGAAGGTGTCCCTGCTCATAGCAGGGAAGGATGAAATCAGCTTTAAGGTCCCTTCCCACCCAAACTACCCTGGGATTCTCTGATTCTATGAAGTTATTGCCTGGCCACAGCCCTATGGTGTCTATATGCTGATCTCCCTGTTAGGGATACAGCTGGCACTGCCCAAGTGCCTCTGGGTTTTCTGTTCATCCCATCATCCACCATGTCCTTTAGCAGCTGTGTGGGAGCAACTCTCCATCTTTCTTCTGGCACTGTAACAGCTTCCATCTAAACATCTTGCTTCTGTGGACTTTTTTGCAAGATTTCTAAAACATTCAAATTATTTCCTCGATAATCTCTCAAATTCTGATGAAGTACCTCGACTCCATATGTTAGTGATTCACAGATGTCACTGACTGATAGTCAATTTTGAGGCTGCAAGAGATGCATGTTGGTTTCTGCAGTTATCTCTGATCTGCTGAGCAACTTGCTGCTCCTTTAATGGGAGGGGGTTTTCTCTTGGCAATTGCCAGAAAGATGTCTGACTCTGTCCTGGTTGGGATGAGGTCACTTTTTGTGCTGAGTTGCAAGTGGAGCAGTTTGGGGCCTTTAGAGGAATTTTTAATTTGAATGAAAGAAGAAAGCTGTGTTTGTGTCTTCTGGAAATGGTTCATTCTATTGGAGCAGCTTTCTCCAGGACAACCCTGTCTGGAATTTTTTCTCATTTGTAATTGGCCCATTTACTTAATTAAACTGCTGAATGTAGTTCTGTATTTTTGTATGTCAGTTCTGTACAATTCCTCTGCAAAGACAGAGGAAAGAAAGAAAAGAAAGAAAGAAAGAAAAGAAAAACAGATGTTTTTAAAAGAAAAATAGATGTTATATTGGGTATCTTTCTGCCTGTGTATCTGCCTGTCTGTCCATCCATCCATCCATCCATCCATCCATCCATCCATCCATCCATCCATCCATCTGCCTATCTCCTGTCTTTGAGGGTATCTAAACCCTTCCCAGGTAAATCACATCTGCATTCGAACTGAGACTCCTTCATTCACACCAGCTAAGCCCACTAAAAGCAGATTCTTGCTTTAAAAGTCATTTGATGCTGCGAGTGAATTACCAGCCCTTGTAAACACTGTGTTTCTAGATGTAATTTATCCTCATTTAGCTCTTGTTATTGTCTGGTATGCTGTCTCTGAATGAGGCAATGCTGAGGGTGCAGTCCCAGATGCAGTAATGCATACGGAATGCTCACAGTGCAGTGTTTGCAGCATTTCTCCTCTACCTGAGGATACTATTCAAAAAGGATTGTTTTCTGCTGTCATGTTCTTGCTAAATAGGGTTTTTAATGGGTCTGTCACAAAATTATATTTTAGCAAGAAAAAGTTAAAAGCACTGCATCACTTTCTAGCTACAGACAACTATTAATTTGGGGGCAATTTTTAGAAACAATGCTGAGGTTGCTCTGACACTGACTTTCCATGTTCCACCCACTCCTCAAATCTGGGCCACTCCTCTCTGCACAGGCCTGGGACCTGTGGAGCACCCTCGGTCTGTGCCCTGAGGTACCTGCCACAGCACATTCTGGAATTCAACATATTAGAACCTTGGGAATCCAGGCCATTAATTAGCATATGTGTTCTGCTGCTTTCTCCCAGACAGTGACACCCACACATAATGTCTCATTCACCGCTGGTTATCCCTGTCATGTATCCCCCTTTCCAAGGGAGAGCTTCCCACTGCATGGCCCTGGGTACTGGTGTTTAACCTGAACAAGCTGACTGTGTCCAGAGCGGATGCTGAAAACAGGCAATTCCTACGATAGCCCCATCCTTGGGTGAAAAACTATTTGGGAATGTCACACAGCACATGAAGCAGTGAAGGGGCTGCAGCTGAAAGCCAGCAGCTGAGTGAGCCAGAACTCCACTGTCTCCCTGCTGCTGGTTGGGAAAGAAATAGAAGAGTGCAGTGTCACTGGTCTGAAATGGTGACTATTCCTCCTTGGGACAACCCAGCTGGGTCATTGTTGGATTCCAAAATATGATACCTGCAGAGAGAGATTTGAGTGATCTCTGCAGAAAGCCATGGGCTACAGAAGCTCGGAAAACCCCTCTTCACTAACCTCATCCCTGTGGCAGGATATGAAGAGATTCCTCACATGATGTTATCACATGCCCTGCCCAAGACAGAGAGTCTGAGCCCTGATCTCATCAGACCTGTGCAGAAGAGTACTGGACCTTATCTCTCCCTTTGTGTTCCCTGAATCCTCGCATTCTGTAGACCTGAATACCTGTTCCCCCCTGTAAAATCCCCTAAGATAAAATGGGTTTTTCCCCACGAGGTAATTGTTAAGACCCCAAAATTTATTAATCTGGGTTTTTCCCTTATGTCATCTCCTGAAATCCCATTTGTAATAAACTGTAATAGTTCTGCCCCGCAATGAATATGTAAATCCCCTATTGAATATGTAAACCATAAACCCTTTAGATATGAACTTGTAAGTACAATAAAGCATTCCAGTTTCTCGCCTCCACCTGGGATCACTTAGTTTATTGACCTCTGTGGGTCACGATAAGGGGGAGCGGCAGAATCAGGTCTGTTGGATGCCTTCTGAGGCTCAGCTGGAGGCTCCTGGGGTTCCCAGGAGGTGCTCCAATGAGCTGGACAGTGTTAGGGGCAGCTTCCTGTGAGGTCCTGGTGATGATACCAAGTCCTGTGTGTGATGGGTTGAATTAGTTGCACTGGTTGGGAAATAAACCCATGCTCATGGCACTGTGCCACCACAGGTGGGTACTGGGTGGGTACCATCCTGCAAGGCACTAACTGGGGGATCTCACTGGGCTTAAGATCCATCACTTTGGACCCAGCTTTTCCTCTTCCTGACATACCATGGGCCACACTCATGGAATCATATCATAGAATCATGGAATGGTTTGGGTTGGAAGGGACCTTAGAGCTCATTTAGTAACCTCACAGCCATGGGCAGGGACACCTTCCACTAGAGGAGTTTGCCCTGAGCATTTCAGGCCCAGAGAGCTCCCACCTATATTCAAAACCTGCCTTCTGCTGCACTCCCAGCAGGTAGCTGAGGGCTTTTAGGGCTAGTTTCTCATGTCTCTGAAAATGCTGGGGTGCACACAGACCACCAGCCACCCTGAAGTGGTGTGGGGGAACAGGACAGGACATCTCTGCTGGCTGCTGCCTTACCCATAAGCAGGAACTGAAGAAAACTGGAAAAAAATCCCAGTGCCATGTGAGTGGTGATGGCAGAGCCCCTGCCTGGGCATTGGCTGGTTACTCGTGGGGAGTGGAAGTCTGAGAAATGGAATCCCAGAATGGTTTGTGTTGGAAGGGACCTCAAAGCTCAACCTATCCCACCCCCTGCCATGGGCAGGGACACCTTCCACCAGCCCAGGTTGCTCCAAGCCCCGTCCAACCTGGCCTTGGACACTTGCAGGGATCCAGGGGCAGCCACAGCTTTTCTGGGCAGCCTGTGCCAGGGCCTCACCCTCCTCACAGGGAAGAATTTCTTCCCACTATCCCATCTAACCCTGCCCTCTGGCAGTGGGAAAGCATTCCCTCTTGTCTTGTCCCTCCAGGTTGTTGTCCCAAATCCCTCTCCAGCTCTCTTGGAGCCCCTTTAGGCACTGGAAGGGGCTCTAAGGTTACTCCAGAGCCTTCTGTTCTCCAGGTGAACACCTCCAGCTGTCCCAGCCTGGCTCCAGAGCAGAAGAGCTCCAGCCCTCCAGCCCCCTCCAGCTCCTGTCTCCTCTGGACCCTCTCCAGGAGGTTCCCATCATTCCTGTGCTGAGGACTCCAGGACTGGAGGCAGGTGGGGTCTCACACAGGTCCCAGACTAGCAGAGGAAAGAGGGACTGAGCTATGCTGAAGTCTGGAATGCCATGTGTGAGTTTATTCCTGCTATTCCAGGTGATGTAACGCCAGTGTGGCACCAAACAGATTACCACAGTGCCTGGCTGGTCGGAGATGTGCTGGCTCGTGAATCTGTTATCCTGATTCTCTCTTGCAGCAATTGCAAGGGATCATCCTCAGCTTTTCCAAGCACCTCTGAGTCCCTGTGAAGATGAAGGCAGCCGTGCAGGGAGCTGCTGGCACATTGGAAATGACTTCCTCATGTAGACAAGTTCCCCCAAGACTCTTCGTACCCATCACCTTCCTGCCTCTGCAGCACATCACGGCACTGAAAGTGCACGCTCGGCTCTTTTCCCACGAGCCTGCAGAACTCCCTGGGGTTTTCCCTTTCCTACGGCTCCTGCCTGGAAACCCGCAGGTTGTACCTCCGCCTCAGCTGACCCCGCTTAAGTGCCACTTAACAACGAATTACAGGCAGCAATTTAGAGCTGCTGTTGCTGGTTATTTACCCGTGTTTATTCCCGAGTATCGCCTGGGTGCTCCAGCCGCAGAAGCTGGTAAGAGGTAACAATTAGGAAGGAAAAAACAGTAGATGCAATTTACTCCTGGTGTAACAGTCCAGGGCGGAGGGGGCTGGGGCACGACCCCCGCAGGAGGTGGACTGGGCTGGGCTCCCTCCCTTCTCCGACCCAGGCAGGGTCTGGGGCAGGGGCAGGTCTATCAGGCACCGCTGCCCTGAAGGGATGCAGGGAGCGCGTCCCCGAGCATTTCACACCGCTCCTGTTTATAAGACTCATCCTTTTGGCTGCCGGAGCTCTACAGCCGGTGGGGTGAGGGGAATGATGAGAAAGGAGCGTTATCCTGGAGGATACTGGTGTAGGAGCTGAATGAACTGAGCAGGACCCAGATAGGGCTCAGCGTTTGTATGTTCAGAGAAGGGAATGGAGCTGGGAAGGGGCTGGAGCAGCAGGAGCGGCTGAGGGAGCTGGGGGGGCTCAGCCTGGAGCAAACGAGGCTCAGGGGGGACCTTCTGGCTCTGCAACCCCCTGACAGGAGGGGGGAGCCGGGGGGAGTCGGGCTCTGCTCCCAGGGAACAAGGGACAGGAGGAGAGGGAACGGCCTCAGGCTGTGCCAGGGGAGGGTCAGGTTGGATATTGGGAAAATTTCTTCATTGCAAGTGTGCAGAAAATTCTTGTTGCCAGAGGTTGGTGTCCACAAAGGAGGCAGAGGAGTTCTGCCAGAAAAACTTCATTCATGAACAAAGGGAGAGCTTACTGGGAATACCCAGTGAAAATCTCTTGAATAGCTGGAGGACACAACCTCCTTTTATCCTGTTTTTTTCCTGGCCGTATAATCCCCTCTTCCTTTCCTCACTGGCTAAAGTACTCAGAAGGTACAGACTTCCCAAAAAGGCCTGTTACATACAAACAGTTATTCCTTTCTCACTGTTCTTAAACAGCTATTTCCTTTTCTCACTATTCTTCTGCAATTAATATTGAATCTTTTAGTCAAAATTATTCTTTACCCAGAAATCGCCTTTTCCTTATCTACAAACCATTATTTCTTTTCTCACCCGCAACCATCTTTTTACCCACAAATAGCTGTTTACACAGCTTGTTTGTAAAGACAGGTTCAACTTCTTCTTGTCAAAAGGGTGGTTGGGCACTGGCACAGGCTGCCCAGGGCAGTGGTGGAGTCACCATCCCTGGGTGCCCCTGGGCCGGCATGGCAGAGAGACTGGCAAGTGCCATAGAACAGCTCAGCTGTGTGTGTGGGTCACTGGGCTGCTGTGGTGGTCACACGCTGTGGCTGTGACTCGGGGAGTACAGGGCTGTAGGGTGTCCCTGTGTTCAATGACCAAGACATCCCCAGGCTGTCTGGGCTTTTGGGGAGGCTGTTCTGCATTAACCCCACTGGGGTCTGATGTGGCGACCCTGCCTGCAGCAGAGCAAGGCTGTGACAGCCAATTGTCATCCCATCTCCACCAAAAGAGGAGAGGTCTGTGGATTCCTGTGCTTTTGCAAGTGGGTAAAGCCTTCAGCACTTGGTTTGGGGAAAAACAGCTCATCTCTTGAATAGGTCTGTGCCTGTCAGGGCAGTGGGGAGTGGACATGTCACACTCTCTCATCAGTGTGACAGGGACAGGCTGCAGCAGTGTGATTAAATGATCTGCCTTGGTATCTCAACCGCTGAAGGACACTGGCCCCTTCTCCTCCCCGAAGTTAAGCCCAGCTGTTTCAGCTGGACCACAGCACTTGACAAGAGAATAAACAGCAGCTTATGGCTTGGCTACTTCCAGACTGCCATGGCAGAGATGGTTTGGAGTGAGGGTGAACCCAAAATGGTAATGCTGCATGGAATCAGAGGAGATCCTGAGTTGGAAGGAACCCACTGAGTTCTACATCAACAAGGACTAAAGACATTCACAGTAGCAATGTAAGAAATCTCCCAAACCAGCCTTACCACCATATACAGCAGCTCTCAGGGAGGAGGAGGTTACCATCCATCCTATGTGTCCTCCAAGCACTTCAGCTGAGGGAGCTTCTGGATGGCACCTTCAGGGTCCTCTGTGACACACTGTCCACACAGACAGTGGCTCCATTGCTAGGAGCCAACTCGATGTCCTTGTCCTGGGAACACCCACCTCCCAGCCCTGCCTCTCCCTGCCTGTGGGCAAGATTCCCCTTGGCTTTGGCAGTGCTCTTCTCCGTGAGCATTCTGCACCAATGTGGAATTTGGAAGATGCATTAGCATAACGCTGTCCTGGAGTTCCCTCCAGGAAAATGAGCGTTTTCACTTGTCTCTTCCCTTCATCCATTGCTGAGAGCTCTGGGCTTGTTCTGCTTTGGATGGAGCAAACAAGGCTCATCCTCAGCTGTAGGTGCCATCTCCAGGGAATATTTTAAACTGTCAGGAGCTCTTTACACCAAATATGTTGCTACTTTTATCAGGCGTTTTTCTGATCTGCTGCTACCAAGGAATTCTACACGTATCATTTCATAGCTCTGGGTGCTCTAATATGCTCAAAAAGAAAGCAGAAGGCATTAAAGCAGTTCTGATACTTGACAAACTGGTCTGATTCTTTATTTACATGAGGCTGAAGCTTTTGGCTGACATTTTTCACAATAAAATGTGATAGAAAATATTCATTTTGATGCTATGTTCCATTTTTGATCAGGAGATTCTAAAGAAAGTACTTAATTTCAGCTCAGAAGTTTGCTGTAATCACACACTCTGACTCCAGAAATGGGAGCTGAGACTGCAAAGGAGAACAGAGCTTTTTTATAACCTTTCTCATTTTTGCTTGGGTGGAAAACTTGTGACAATCTTACTTAGACTCATTCTACCATGTGGCTTGAGAGATGGTCCCCTCTGAGCTCTGAGTTTCTGCCTTTATGAAAACAGCTCAGAATGATTAATTTTTGTTGTATTTCTCAGTGCTCCTTGGTTGGAGTTTCATTCATGAGCTGATGCTCAGTCCTGCAAATGGATCCATTATTCATATGGATGCTGTACGTGCAGGTAAATAATTTTTGCTCTCCAGAGTTACCAAAGACTGTTTATTGTGATGATCAACTGCTAATTACCATTCGCTGCATGTGCTGGGTCATGTGGGACAATTTCTGTCTTTTTATTGGGGTACTGAGACATTTTACCAGGAGAGTAACAACTAAAGGTGAATGAAAAACCCTCATGACTGCCTTCAGCATCCAAAAATAGTGACCCACACGCTGAGAAAGTCCTGGGAAAGCATCGACTAACACAGCAAAACCAGTAGAGAATAATTAACAGTTACCCAGTGCGTGTGAGTTGATGGGCACTGGAGGGTTTACTCAATATTTCATGTTTTCTCAGAGAACAGGAAGGTTAGAAGTTTACTTTTGATATTCTGAGATAACTACATAAATTCAGCAGCTGGGGCTTGACAAAAAAACATGAGGTATCACAAGCCTTGTAAGGGAAGTTGTGAGAGTTACAGACAGCAGGCAGTCCCAGGCAGGCAAACACCCAGCCGTTGAAGTCGGTGACACTTCCAAAAAGCAGCGTCTTTTCCACAAATGCCGATGGGATGGAGAACAAAGAGCCTTGCCAAGCTCTCCAGTCTCAGGGTGAATCTCATTGGTACTCAGCGGCTTCGCAAGAGATCTTCCTGCCTGACAAAGGGAAGGCAGAGCAGCCCCGTGTTCCACACAAAGCAGGTTCATTTGGATAGAAATGAGCTGCCGTGACAGAGATAATGGTTTATTATTGCACTCTGTGGATCTCCATTCATGCACAGCCCACGTAACTCTGGCTACAGCCAAGTCAGTTTGAATTGATTTTTCAAGTATGGCTTCATGAGACAATGCATCAGATGTTTTAATAAAATTCAGACAGGCTGCAGCTATCACGGTCCTTTCATGCACTAATTAGGAGGTTCTTTTATTAAAAAAACACAGCAATCGATTCTTCCAGTAATGTCTTTTTGTGATTCTAATACTCGCAGTTCCATCTTCCTGCATGTTTATAAATTCCTGCCCTTAATATTTAACATGTAGTACCTGGTTTACCAAGGATTAGGCATAAATTACAGCCAGTCCAGTGCCAAAGCCACTCTGTTTGGCTTTGTTTGAGATGGCTCTTGCATCTGCTTTGCTTCATCCACTCTTGCCTTTCCTTTGTTCTCTAACTAAGCAGAAAGAAACTTCACTGGGTTTGTTCATTCCTTAAACAAACTCTGTGCCCTTCTGCCTGTGTCCGCTGGATCCCATGGTTTGCTGGTGCCCTGCTTTTGCCCTTAATTTCTGACAAAAGTCTTAATCTGCTTTTACCATTAATTTCTTTAGAACCTTAGTATTTTTCCGACATTGCAGTCCAGTTTCTGTAAGGGTTAAAGCATCCAAAAGGCATTTCCACTCACTTTATTCTCAGCTGCAGCTCCACGAGGTCAAAACCTCATGAACACAAGGCTCTCAGTGATCCATGGTCATGGACTGTCCCTGTTTAATCAGGTTTAGGGAAATGTCTCAAATCATAGTGTGACCAGGGCTGGAGGGGTGGAGGATGCACCACCACAATAAATGGATGAGGCTTCAGTTTTTCTTGGCCTGTGGACAAACCGTGATCCCAGTCGTGTTGGGATGGCAGAGCTCACTTCCAAGGCACTGCTGAGAAGCCAGAGTGGAATTCAGGCTCAGGGACACTAAACTCCACGGGACCTGGCTTGCCAGAATGGGGGCTGTATGCAGAGCTCTGCCATGATGCACCCAAGGCCAAACAACAGGTCCTGGACCTGTTCTCATTCTGAGGAGAAAGGCTTATCACCTGGAGAGGTGCAAGATGTGCTGTTTGGGGCAAGTGTTTCAGTGAGGAGTGAAGAGTCTGGGGTGGACAAGGAGACAGAGACAGAAGTGGATGCCTTGGCTCTGATCAGGTACCTTCTCTATGCTGGGATGGGTTAATTGTAACCTGGCTCAGGATATGGACCTGACCTCAGAAAACAGCAGTGGTGCTGTGAGGGAGCCCCAGCCTGGGATCCAGCACAGGCCAGGGTGGACAACAGACATGTACTAGGTGACCACTGTGGTTTGTACCCACCCCTGGCCATGCTGATGGGCAGCAATGGCTGTAACACAGAGGAACCAAGGCCTGTGGGACTTCCCAGACCAGTCAACTCGGGTCCATCCCACCTGCACCTGAGACAAGTCCAGCATCCTCTCACATACTTGTCCAAGGGGCTGCCATGCCCACTGGGCACCTACCAATTTCCTGCACATTCCAAATTCCTGGAAATTCTTGCCAAAGATGAGTGGATCTGTTCCAACTTGGCTGCAGAGTATAGTCTTGATTGGTATTGATCCACTGCTGTTTTACAGGAGTGACAAGTTTTGGACATAAAAACCCTGCCTGATCCCAGCACCCTCCAAGCTCTGAGGCACATCAGTCTGGTTGCAGATCACAGCAACTTACTGTGAGCAGTGACTCATGGAATCACAGAATCGTGGAAAGATTTGGGTTGGAAGCGACCTCAAAGATCATCCTATCCCACCCCCTGCCACGGGCAGGGACACCTTCCACCAGCCCAGGTTGCTCCAAGCCCCATCCAACCTGGCCTTGGACACTTGCAGGGATCCAGGGGCAGCCACAGCTTCTCTGGGCAACCTGTTCCAGGGCCTCCCCACCCTCCCAGGGAAGAATTCCTTCCCAATATCCCACCTAACCCTGCCCTCTGGCAGTAGGAAGCCATTCCCCCTTGTTCTGTCCCTCCAGGCTGTTGTCCCAAATCCCTCTCCAGCTCTCTTGGAGTCCCCCTACAAGAAGGGGGAGGTGACAGAACCAGGACCACTGTGGTGGCACGGTGGCAAGAGGGGACACCTGAGAGACCTGTGGCAGATACTGTGAGTGCACAGACACACAGCTGCTCCCACCACGTGTAACTCGAGTGATTTGGGGAAGTTTAACTGTGAGCAAACGAATTAGTCAGCATTATTTTCAGTTAGCAAGAGAACAGCTGAGTGTCTAATAGAACCAACTCAATAAATCAATTACCAGATGCAACCCTGAGTCGCTCACTTGCGGATATTTAATATGAATTGCTCCATGGAACTGCTAAATCTTTAGAGAAGAGGCAATTAGTTTTACTGCAACTTGGTAATTACTAACTGTAACACTCTCCACAATATTTCTGTGTAAGGTAGAGAACAGTACTGCCAAAACTGACAATAACACAGGCAGCAGAACCTGCAAAAGCAGGTTGGCACTGAAAACAAAACCACCCAGCACAAAGTGTGTCCATGTGCCCAGGACCTGCACTCTCTCCTTGGATGTATTTTGACCTGCAGGAATCAGGAGTACATTCCCTAACACAGGATTTTACCAGGAAATGCAGCTTTTGTACATTTTAAATTTGCCATACTACGTTTTTCTATTCCCTTTTTCTCCCATTCGGAAAATAAAATGAAATACCTGGTGGTGGTGGTGACATCTACCCTCCAGAAGAAAGCTTTCTCTTGGGTTCATGTGGGAGTCCCTGTTTCTGGGCAGAGTGGTGGCCAGGATTTGGGTGTGAGCAGAGGTGTGAGCATGGAGCTTCACCCACAGTGCTGTGCCATGTGCTCTGGGATGACCCTGCTGGAGCAGAAGTTGGACCTGATGACCCACTGTGGTCCCTTCCAACCTGACCCATCCTGTGATCCTGTGAGAGTGAAGAGGGTGTTTGCTCAGCCCCACTGGTTGTGGAGGAGCTGCTTGAGCTGGTCAGGGGAGCAACCCAGGGCTGAAAAACTACCCAGGAGTTTACCTTTTCACCCCTACCTGGAATGGATAGCCAAAAGCTGGGGTTCCTATGGAAAACAGATGCTGCATCCACCTGCAACTGGAGCGCACATCCCTTTTGGATGAAAGATTTCAGCTACTCTCCTTGGAAGCATTCTTTACCCTGTGGTGCCCTGGCCTGGAGGTTACAGGCTGCCCATAGAGGGTAGTTTGTGGTTCTCCCTCAAAGAGTTATCCAGCCGTTATTCCCATACAGTGAGAAATAGCCCAGTTGAAGCAC